ATTTGATCATACAAATCTTTCAATATTTTTCAATACTTATTACTTTTGAAAATACTTCTAGATATTGATTAAAATGAGACGTTTTCATAATAAATTTTGTTAATTTAGTATTAAAAATATTATTGTATTCTACATATACTTAATGAAATAAATTTATATTCATGATTATTTTGAATATTCTATTTTATTTTTATAATTCATCGTTTATACTAGAATAGATTGGAGTCAGAAGACTAATATATAACGAATTTGCATATTAATATCTTTTAAAATAAAATTTCATACTTAATGAAACCTTGACTACATCTAAAACATAGGAATGAACTGTAAGAAATTTACATCTTCATACCTGAATAATAGCAATGCCAATGCCTACACCACCCAAAATCAATGAGTAATACTCAATAGCAGATTGAAGACTCTGCATACATCCTCCTTCATATATGTAAATTGAATTTATGTCACATTTACTTCCTACTGGTACTTCCCTACAGCAGGAATTTGGTATAGTATTATCAGAGAATCCAGCAGAAGCCCAATCACTTGCACCATTCATTCCGCAACACTGCAGCTGTAGTTTAAGAAAAAATTTTGTATTAAATGTGTATTAAATTAAATAACTCAATTTCCTGGCAAAGCTCTGGTCGGAATTCTGTTGGTACTACACTGATATATGTATATATGTTTTACACTTACATCATGTTGCATAATATCCCAAGATTTATTAGTAGTTATATCAGTTGAATAATCCTTCATAGTGATATTCATCCTATTTTCTACCATTTGTCGAACTTCTCGTTGCATCAAATATCCAGAAATGCCAGCAACAAGTTCCAGGACAAATATTAGAAGAAGCAATACTGAAAACTGTATAACAAAAATTCTATATATTGTGCATATTTTAATTCTATTGCAAAATACAGTGTATATAAATACACTATGTAATGTGATCAAATATTAGAAGGCTGAATAATTGTAAATAATTTAAAAATTACTTTCAATTAGTTAAATTGGTACATTCAAAGATTTTACCACAATGGAAAGACATGAATTAATATATGAAATTAATAATAATAATATATATATATATATATAT